AACAGGTCAGGTTATAAACAATACAGTAGATTTTTGCTTTTATGTTTATAACCATCGTGAGTAGAATCAAGCCCTATCTCTCAGCCTTGATCTTGTAGCGCAGGACGAGGTACGTGGCCAGACGCAGGATCAGGAAGAAGATGCCCAGTACAATGAAGTCCATGTAGAGTTTTGCGTCCTTTACGTCCAGCAGCTGCAGCACTTCCTCGGGCTGCTGGAACTGACACACTTTCCCCGTACACTCCAGCTCTGTGCGGTTCATGCCGTAGATGGACAGGATTACTCCCTCAAAGCCGTACCTAAAACATGAGTTCAAATAATAATAATGCATTTTACATTTCATCCATGGATCTAAAGCTGAATAACATAAAAGACCATTCGAACAGTCCGAAAGTATAAAATTACAAACCAGTTTATAACGATGTACAATTTCTCACACACCTGACATAAGATATGTAGGAGCTCCACTGCAGGTACTTGGGGATCGTATCAAAGTTCACAAAGAAGCCGGAGAAGAGCAGTACTGGAATGGCAGTGACTGGTCCAACAAACGTGGCAACCTGAAGATATTTTTAAAATGGCAAAAGATGTAAGTAGAGATAATTGTGATTTCTAAGGGAACAGGTGGGGGCAAAAATTAAATTCTGTTCAGTATCCCGATATTTTGTGAATGCAATTATATCAATACAGTAGAGCAAAGTGTAGCACTATGTAGTTTAATTAACATCAGTGGTTTATGTCTTTTTTATTTATTTCTCTCCTTGCTGTATCACAATACTTTCTGTATCGCAATATTTGCTGTATTGCAAGATATGCTGTATCGTAATACATGCTGTATCGTAATACATGCTGTATCGTAATACTTGCTGTATCGTAATACTTGCTGTATTGCAATATGTTAAGAATCGCAATAATATTGAATTGTGGCCCAATTATAGCAATGCTATCAAATTGTATTCTATCTTATTTTTGCCAATTCCCTCCCCTAGTACATGCCATTTCAATGCATTTTGATATGTTTTAAGATCAAGATTGATGGATAATACCTGTAAAGAGGTGGCTGCCGCACCCACCAGCAGCCCCAGAGACTGTGCCACCAGCGCGGTTGAGATGGACAGAGCGATGAAGAGAAAGTAACGAGCCGCTTCAGGAGGTTGTTCGGTCATCCAGTAAACAATACTACAGTACAAGATCGGACACAGAACCTGGAATAGAGCACCAGCCATTGTAAGTTCAGATATTCATTGACTACTTTTTTTATTAATCAAGAAAACTCACTTGAAAGGGTATATCCGCCATGGTTTTTGCCAGATAGTATGCCTTCAGACTGTACCAGTAGTTTAGATGCTCTCTTAGGAACACAGACATCTCCAGTGGGACTGAGGGTATATCAAAGGTATAAATGTACAAAAAAGTAAATTCAAACATTACACATTTGAGTGCTGCAATTTGAAGTTTTCTTTCATATTGGCTCATTCTGTGTCATTATGGGCATTGATTTCCTGTGTTGTAATTGTTTCCTTCTCTAATCTTTTGGTGGCAAATTGACAATTTTGTAAAGTCCTCCGAGACAACAGCAATACAAAACAAATGTAACTGAATTTAAAATGTAATATCTTGGGTTTTCTAGAATTTTTTGTATTTACTTTTTAAGATAACGGGTAACATGTCTGGTATAGCCTACCCTGCATGTTTGTTATATTTAAATTGATAAGATGTTGCTAGGATAGTCCAAGTTCACCTCAAGGACTTTTGGAAAAAAGAGAACTCAAAAACAAAGTGAATAGTTGATATATTGAAATGTGCAGGTGCTCGGTGCTTTTTGGTCACTAAAGTATGGACAGTAACAATTGCTGCATGCAGAAGAGGAGCACAATAAACAGGGTGCACATATGTACAGTGCAGCAGTTGAACAAGAATGCATAGCAGATACAAATAAAATGCATGCAATAGTTACTTTCTGAAACAGCATTATAAAATTGTTACTACAGGTGGATGAATACATTGGTTATTGACACTCACATGTTAAGACAGTGGGCATGAGAGCTCCAAACATGAGGAAGAGCATCGAGAAGAAGAGGAATCCAGTGTTGTTGATGACTTTGCTCGCATCATTTCCAATTTGGAGATACAATAAACCTATTAATACACCGATCAAGATGTGTGACATGACCCTGAGGTGGGTCAAAACCTGCAGATAAGAGGAGGAAAAGTCATTAAGCTGTAATTCAAACGTTTGACCAAAATATTTCACAGCTTATTTACCTGATCTCGACAGATAGTTACTAACGTCCTTTTGAACAATATACAGAACTGTGTTAAAGTGCTTGTTGCAAAGGTATGTCTCTCAATGTGATCAGGCACCTGGGCAATAAAAGGGGAAGAAATGTATTATATAGTATTATCACAATTTAGGAAAGAAAATAAATCACTGGTTACAACTTTTTAATAATACTTCAAAGTCAATATTTGACCATGCAAATATTAACTTTGCCTGATAGCTTGATGACTATCCAAACCGTTTTAGATCAAATCAAACTCCATAACACATTTCTCTATCTATGCAACATCTCTGATCACATTCAACAACATCGATAAAACATGAATTGGACCTATACCTTCCACATCTTAATGTAGCAGAGTACCTAAATTTGTGATAAAATCCATGAATAAATACATTCATATTTCCTAGCTCTCAAAGCTGTTCTATATTTAGATCAGCTTTTTCAGTACCAGCCCTCACTCAGCCATTCCAAAACTCTATGCAAAAAAGATACAATGTTTTGGATAGAGACAGAATGTTATGGTCTCATTAGACTTTTTATGTTGGGACAACCACACATTACCACATTAATCATGGAACAAAAAGTTGTTGTCTTGTTGACTGCACCTTGTGATTGGCTGTGGCACAGATTGGGTGTCCATTGCTTTCGTCAAAGATTTTCTTCTCATCCAAAGCGCAAAGACCACTCTGAACTGCTTCAAACAGCACTGGGTTAATGTCTCCATACTCCCCAGAGGCTACTTCTATAACTGCACAGCAATATCCAGATGTCACCATTGAATATGTTCATATCTCATGAATGAGTGTACATGGATGTGATCTTACTGAAGTCGGCTGGGTTGTGGTAGGTGGGACAGTGCAGGCCGACAGTCTTCAGGTACGGGATGAGGTACGGCACCGAACCTTTGTAAATACATTGGCCCTGGCTGAGGATATAGAGCTGTGAAGGACCAATAACAACTGTTGATTTATTTCAACTCAATAAAACATCAAACATATAATAACATGTAGATCAACAACAAGAAAGTTTACAAGAATGAGGCTGTTCATTTTATTGGAGCTATAACATTGCACTGGTTTACGTTACTCTTTTATTATGCGATTTGTTTCCCCTGTGCCTTCTTACGTTTAACTTCCTGTTTTGTTGAGTATCTTCTTTGTGTGTATTTAAAACCCGGTGCCCCTCTCCTCTTGTTGTCGGTCCATTTACTCTATCCCCCATTCAGTTCTGTTTTGATTCATTTATTCTGGAAATTGTTTGAGGATTTGATTTTATCAAATTAGTCTTGATCTGCAAGTTTCCAAACGTTCAAAATCTACTGCTGTAATCCTAATATATGGGTCAAACATGCATCATGGAATAAAACTTTTATACACAATAAAACACCTTTTTACAGATGATCCAGGAGTAATTGTAGTAATTTCTACCTTGTCAAACATCTCAAACAGTTTGGCACTGGGCTGGTGGATGGTGCAGATGATGGTGCGTCCGCCCTGAGCCAAAGAGCGCATTAGCGACACCACCTGGTAACAGGAGACACTGTCCAAACCGCTAAAAACAGAAAGGAGGGAGGATAAATCATTTTATTCACTTTGACCATTAAGTTGCGTCAACAAAATTTGAGCTAATAATAAATGGTCAATAAAGACAAGCAGATTAACCAGATTGACACAAGTGAGGCTGACATTGGATCCTCCGACCACTAACAGTTATTCTATTACAATACAATACAATACAAATTATTCTTTTATAGCCCAAAATCACAACAGAAGTCATCTCAGTGGACTAATCTAGACTAATTGGGACTAATATACATTAAACACAATATAACCAATAATAATCATCAAAGTAAATGGACAGTAATAGTAAGGAACCTCCTCTGACCTGGTGGGCTCGTCGAAGAACATGACTGGGGGGTTGTTGACCAGCTCCAGAGCGATGGCCAGCCTCTTGCACTGGCCCCCGGACAGAGCGCTGGTCCGGGTTTGGGCACAGTCCAGGAGCCCCAGGGAGGTCAGGATCTCCCCCACCTGCACATAAATCACATGCACACTGTGCGTTCAGTATAAATCCTACTTAAAGAACAATGTTAAAGTAAGGATTCTAATAATTCTATAGTAGTGATGCAATACCCATTACTCTCTTTGTTTTGACATCAGAACATCAGGCAAACTGTCATTATCATAAATGTGCCTGTCCATACATATATACTGTACATATACAAGCTTACATTGCTCTGCATAGCTTTTGTGGCCATAAATCCAAATTTGTTTCTGTTAATATACTTAAATATGTCTATTTTGCAAAGTAAAACCATCAGTGTAATACAAAATTCATCCCCTCTAAGTTTGTCATCCAATTACAATCTGATACAGCGACGCAAACTCAGGAACTCTGGGACCATTGAAGGTTCCCAGTTGAAATTTTGACTTAATTCCCATTTTTCTGAGTGTGAGTTGGAACTAGACCAATAGACTGAAAAAAATCTTTAGTTTAAGAGGCCAACAGCCATTGGCCACATAACTGATAAGGACAAATAACTTTACATATTTTAACTATTTTTTTTAGGCTTGTAGAGCTATTCATGCATCATTTACTATGCATGAATAGGATTTATTGACAAGAAATTATTATTGTATTTGCATTGTTGTATCAATACTGCCTCCAGGTAACAAAACATGCCTAGTCTTAATAACCATTGCAATAAAAATGTTTTTGTCATAGAGCCTAAATCATAAAATAGGACATGGCTTCAAACTATCCCAACCTTTTTATATACCACAAGCAGTTGATTTGTTGTTGCTGTTAACTTCTAAACATACTCACCAGTTTTTTCTTAACATCCATGCTTTCATTTAGTTTCAAGTTGGCTGAAACCTGCAATAAATGAAACAGTGTGATCATAAAGTTGTAATGCTGAAGGTATTTGAGTGTTGGGTAGCGCAGGCCTACTCTTGTCACTTTCTGGCATAATATTCAAAATCTTATTGGTCTGCATGAGAGTCCTGTGCGTCTCACCATCATGGCCTCTCGCGCGGTGAAGTGTGGGAGCAGCATGTCTTCCTGCATTATGTAACAGGACATTTTTCTAAACGTCCTCAGGTTTCGTGGTTTACCGTTCACCAGAATCTGACCCTTCATCCCAGTTTGTCTGTACAGAAACAAATGAAACATGTGTCTTTTGAGATATTACATCATGTACACACACATATGCGTTTACGTTTAAATTATACTGTGCCAACTCTATAAAAAAATATTCTCTTGACAGTATTCTTGTCTTGATAAAATGGACTAAGATTGAGGACTTGACTTGGAGCAGAGACTCAAGAGGACTTGAAGTGTTTCCTCAATTACATAAATAGAGGTTTTGTAAATGACTCATTAAAAATATTAGGTGGAGATATGAGAGCTACAGACTGACTGTTCTGTGCATTGTATACTGTAAAAAGGGAGGAAATATCCCCCAAACTTCTCAAAATAATATAGATTTCTTGATTTCTTTAAATCTCTAAGGAAACTTGAAGATACTTGAAACTCAAAGCAGAGCACTTGGACTGGACTTGGGTTTATATTGTTGTTAATTGGGACTCTCATGAGAAAGACTTGAACCCTCCTTACAAAAGAGAGACAGAGTGTTCCTATTGTTGATGTTGAAAGTTACACTGTTGTTTTAATAATGGACACAGAGGGAAAGACCTCAATGTAAAGAAAATTAGTAATCATCCATCCATCCATCCATTTTCTACCCTTTAATCCATTTCTGGGTCAGGGGGGTGACAGTCAGAGATGCCACCCAAGTCTCATAGCACCAGCCCCTCACTGACCCTCTGCAGGTGGTGAGTCCACAGGAGGACGGCTGCTCTGAGTGTGAGCATAGCCTTGATCTTTCAGTGGGGGCTTTGGGCAAAGTGGGGTTAAGTGTCTTGCCCAAGGACACAACAATTAGTAATCAGTTGTTGAATAATACTATGAGCTATAGATTTGTAGTTCCTTCATAAAATGTAGTATATATAAATGTAGTATATATAAACATGTTTTTTTGACAATGAATGAATAGACAATCGGGATGAATGCCATTGCTTGTATCAATGGGAAACACTGGATATATGATTGTGGCCATGTAATTAAATGATCTATATATTTCTGAGTCCACTGACTGAAACTCTCGTCCATACATCTCCATACATTTGATTGTTGAGTTGGTTGTGTGTAAATATTCTGTGTCACTTTTAGGTGTCCCTTTTACCTGTACCCAGCCAGTATGTTCATTAACGTGGACTTGCCAGCGCCTGAGGGGCCCATAATTCCTATGAGCTCCCGGCTGCAGAATTTCCCAGACAGACATTTGAGCAAGGCTTTAAAACCTGCAAAGAGAAACACAAATGACCAGCCCAGGTATAAGCAATAAAATCATTGACATTTATTTTACAAATATTGTCTTTACATTTCATACACAATATTTTAGAAAAAAACAAGATGTCTGCACAATGTAATCTACTTTTCTCACCATCAGCAATAAAAACGTAAAAATAATACATTAGAATGACAATACACCCATGCCAACAATCTGACTTTTCTTGACCTGGCCAGGAAACACTGAGTCTCTACGAGAAAACAATTCAAGAACTGTATCTTGTCATAGAGTTCGAACATAATCACAGGTGCTGAATGACTGTGTTTTATTTGGCACACAGCACACCACACTCAGTTGAAAGGTAAACCTATTTCAATTGATTTATTTTTGGAATTGACAGAAAGATAAAAAAAAGAAAGATTGGTTTTAGAATCACTTAGCAACAACTTATACGGTTTAGCTAACACAGCGTTTATCTTTTGCTGATATGATGTCTTTTGTTCAGAATGAGCTGTTTTTTTCTGGAAATTAATTTGTAATCTTTGCATGATTATTTATGCTTATCTAAACCCTGCATACAATAGAGAACTGTTGAAATGAATCAGGCAGTGAGTGTAATCAGCATGACATTATCAGGAAATAACAGAATATAACGTCACTAAATACTGTTTATGTTGACTCAGAATAAACATTGTTCAGTTGTTCAAGTGTTGAACCAGTCTTTTCATAATTGTTCCTTTGTTGACACAGAGGCTTCATAATTAATTTTAATTTGAGTGAACACTTGAGAAAGTTGAGAAATAAAAGCATTGGCAGTGAGTGCTGTGTCAATCAGAGGTTTCTCTTAGCGTTTGTAAAGGAATGCAAATGTGTGAAATATGACTCAAGAGCCTTGCAGCGCTCCTTCACCTAACACCACCTCTGTTTTGTCCTCTCCGCTTTAGAGGGATTGAAAATAAAATCCTTTGTCTCAGAAAAACAATAACTCTAAAAACCTTTTCACTACTTTTGGAAAAGCACTCATCCGCAGAGCTCCACCTAAAGGCCCAGTTTAATTGTATTCCTTAAAAAAAGTGTACAAGTTTATTTCAGATCCTCTTGAGTTATGTTGCACATATACAGCTTCACTTGAACACACTGGTAAAAAACAGACATCTTGTGAAATGCTTGTATAGTTACCTTTCCTCCTCCAGCAGGGCCCCTCCTGAATGGTGTATGACAGGTCTTTGAACTCCAGGTCCACAGCTGAGCGCTTGGGCAGGTGGGTGAAATACTGCGCCTCATTCAGTTGGTTGTTGACTTTCTTCAGGTGGGACAAGCAGCCGGTGTCCTGTTGCTGGATCATCCCATTACCGTTACACATGTGTGGGTCATCTATGGGCACGCTCACAGAGTCCAGCTCCAGGCCCTTGTTGTCCAGAGCGGGCATCTGTGTGAAATAAGGAGTGGTGGTGATGGAGACCATGTAAAAAGCAGGGCGCACAGACATGGTGAACCTGTGCTTCTCTGTGCTGAGCTCAAGACACTGGCAATAAAGTGAGAAATCAAAAAACAGCACCTTAGGCCTTAGGATTATACTGCTGTGCACATGCGTACTTTGGATGACTGAAAAAAACTGTACGATGAAATTTTTTTAATGTGGCTCATAATGATGATGATGATGATATGATTTACTGCATGGAGCCAAGTTGCAGCTTGACTTTAAAATTCCCATTGGTTTGATGTATATATGAAATATATACTGTCAAAACAGTATATACACTCAAACATCTATCTTTCCTTTTTGAACATAAGTACAGGTAAGACTTGGACCTAATATATATTAGGTCCAATTCTTACCTGTACTTAGTCAAGTACAAGTCAATATCACTATAAACGATATATAGAATATTTCAAAAAAGGTTTCCATTTTGATAGCGTGACAACACTATGATTAATATTATGTAATGCTCAACTTTCACATACTGTCTTCTGGTATTTCAACTCCACCTGACGACATCATTACTTCAGCTTGCAGGGCTTTCATGAATAAGGATTCCTGGGAAAAAAATTGTCTTGGCCTCATTTACATGGGACAAAAATTCTTTCAGCAGAAGCATGTAACTGCTGAAAGATGACAGCAGATTAGAATGATGGCAATAGAGATTGTTATAATCCTCTTTGTTCTCAGACAAAACTGGTCTCAAGTCTGCGGTGGTACAACCATTTGTGCTTTTTGAGAGTGAGGGCTCGTCTAATCTTCAATAATTCCCTTTAGGATTAAATTCAGATTTCCTTTCCAGCCTTGATCTCCTCATCAAGCTTGGGAAAAATCTGCAGATTCACTATAAGAAAAGCCCATGTACAGTATGGGAAGTGACTTGGAATGAATGGACTCAGAGAATGTCTATGGCGACGTGTCACGAGTCCGCCAGACCTCTAGACTTTCGGAGAGATGTCCAGGGAGAACTCACTGACCTGAGATCAGGCCACTTCAGAATCTTATGTGAAACAGAAATCCTTCATACATCTGAATTGAAATAGACCTGCAACTCAAATCATGTGGCACAGGAACAAAGTAATAAGTTTCGACTTGGCCTCTTTAACTTGAATAAACATAATAACTAGTATAATTAGCAAATAGATGCATATTTATAATGTAATATTTCATTTTAGTTTTTGCTTTTCTTTGATACAAAATGTCTCTAACCTGGGCAATTTTCATGTTAAAAGTAGATTTTTGTGTTGCAGTATCTACCACGTAGTATGATACAATAGCTACACAGCCTGAACAGAACTAACAAGCAGATCAGGCAATTATGAGGATGTATTCGTTTTACTTCCCATATTTGTTTATCTACAGTATATACAGTATATACTATATTGTATGGGGACTTTATCCATGATTATAATACTATGTATCTTTGATGCTAATGTCTTGTTTGCTGAGTTATTAGGAAGTCCATCTCATGTAGCTCACACTGAAGTCAATCCCACATGAGGCTTTGAAGGAGAGGAGAGCATTGCTGTGTATAAAAACAAACATTTTAGACGCTGAAACGTCATATAGATACTTCCTCTTGGCGTCAATGACTACATTTAAGTTTTGTGATTCATCCTTTGGCTCCTGACAGTGGCTGGGGAACTGAGGACTGTCAAATAACAACCTTCATCCAATATGACTTGAATTCAACTCAACATAAATGTCTCATTTTGTCATTTTTACATTAAAAAGTAAAATGTTGAAAAAGAGGACTTGGGATTCTAACTCCAAAATCCAAGACCATGTTCTCGACCAGTAAAAGGTGTCTGTCCGTCTGCATATGGAGGTTCTCCCAAAGCAGTCCATTTGACTGCTTTTAGTTTAGGAAGTATAATTCAGCTTATGTACCTTTTTGATCTTCCTAACATTGTGATTTTTGTCTGTAGTTTTTTTTTATTTTTTACGCGAGTAGTTCTACTTCTAATGCAAAATTCAAATGTCGGCTTGTCCTGGACTGGTCCTGGTTCTGAGCCGAGTCAGGTTCCCACCAGAGAAGACAGAGTACTAGTTACCATAGCAACGCAGTATTTACTTGACAGCAGTTAGCATTGGGTCAATCACGTTTCTGTATTTCTTTTTAGCACTAATTAAAAGTAAAAACCGTATAATTTTTCAAAACTCCATTGACAGCTGTCAAAATTGTATTTTGGGAGTCCTAGTGTGAAGTGGAAGAGTTCATGTATCTCAGGTCTTGTTCATGAGTGAGGGAAGAGTGTAAGGCAGTGACGCCGTCTGTTGTGGGGAAGAGGGAGCTGAGGCTCTAACTGAATTTATGTAAAGTGAGTGAATGACTTTCCTTAGACATAGAGAAGGGAGTTCAGTGGAGTTTGGAGGAGAGCTACTTCTCCTTCACATTGAGAAAAGCTAATTATGGCTCATTATTGGAGTCCTCCCTAGAAAAGTGTTCCAGGCATGTCCCCCTGGGAGGAGGCCCCAGGGAAGACCCAGGACCTCACCTAGATGATGTGTGCATGGAGAAGTCTGGGCAACTGTGCACAGACCACTGCCTCCATAACTTGGATGGATGAATAAATGGACGTATTATTCATCATTTTGCATTGAGAATCAGCTGCAATGTTTATCAAGCTCTGTTTAGGCTTAGTGTTTTCTTATTTGTCTTTGAATACACAGATTTATTTAGAAAACTCAACACACTGTTCGTTGTTAAGGATCATTACAGGGGCAGTTTCAATATTTCAATAGACTACGTGCACGTTAGCATATGCTACTTCCAATAGGAAAACTCCTGTGCTGTGCTCTGTTTCCGGTTACATTGGTACCGTGTGGGAGTCTCGGTTCCAGGTCTAGTTTGGTCTGTCAAATGGCTCAAGCAAACACGGATTTGCATTATTCTAGATGTCTTGGGAAACTACGAAATATATCCATTGATGATGTTCATCGTATTGTTGAATGTTTTTCTCCTGCTCCTCAGAGTAAAAGAGAGAAAGGATTTACATCATTTAAGTTACAACAATACAGCATTTCCTAGCATTTCTAACTATATATAGCTTTATTCGTTCGACCGTGTTCCCCGGGGTGTCCTTTGGGGGGTTCTCCGGGAAAAGGTGCCTTGCCCTCTCCAGGTGGGCGGAGAGGTCCTTCCTCAAGTGGAGGAGTTCAAGTATCTCGGGGTCTTGTTCACGAGTGAGGGAAGGATGGAGCGTGAGATTGACAGGCGGATCGGTGCAGCGTGCGCAGTGATGCGGTCGCTGTATCGGACCATTGTGGTAAAGAGGGAGCTGAGCCGAAAGGCAAAGCTCTCGATTTACTGGTCAATCTTCGTTCCCTCCCTCACCTATGGTCATGAGCTTTGGGTAATGACCGAAAGAACGAGATCGCGGATACAAGCGGTCGAAATGAGCTTCCTCCGCAGAGTGGCTGGGCGCTCCCAAACGAGAGGAGCTCGGAGTAGAGCCGCTGCTTCCCTGGGAGGTGTTCCGGACCCGTCCCACCGGGAGGAGACCCCGGGGAAGACCCAGAACACGCTGGAGAGACAATGTCTCTCAGCTGGCCTGGGAACGCCTTGGGGACGAGCTGGAGGAAGTGTGTGTGGATAGGGAAGTCTGGGTGTCTCTGCTTAGACTGCTGCCCCCGCGACCCGGCAACGGATGAAGCGGAAGAAAATGGATGGATGGATGTAGCTATATTATGTAACTAGACCAAAGAAAAGGTGTTATCTGAGCAGAAATACTGCGTTAGCAAGTGCATGTTCAGAAATCTGTGCGTTAGCCTCCAAATGTAATAAACTATCAAAAACAAGGACTATTTTGTCAACTAAGAACCTCTCTACTACATGCCAATAACACCAAAACACCATCGGGAAACAACCTCACTTGCATATCTGCCCCTCAAGATTGTTAACGTTAGCATTATTGGAGAAATTAGCATAGATGCTAACAGCGAACCCATCGAAATTCTGCCGTATTTTTGCCAGCTGTGCTACATTTCCATAAAAATACATAGGCCAAAATCTGAAAAATAATATCTGTGAGGCATCTCAATAACAAGGGGCTAACATATTTAAAATGTAATGAACATGCAGGTCTAACTATTAACATAAAGGCTAAGCAATAATACAATATTTTTTGTGTGTCTGCTTGTTAATCATTGAACCTTGAGCGTGTACGTAAAGCTATATAGCGATTGATGATTTATAAAATATATAAATCCATGAAGCAGAAATAGTCTCTGCTTCATGGATTTATATGTTTTATAAATCATCAATCGCTATACTAATTAATACTAACTTGTTATTCTATTACTAACCATACCATTGTTTTCTGCAGTGTCTGATCTCAGGAGACCTCAACCCCCAGGCTGTCAGACTGCTCAATGAACACTGACCCCCTCCTCACCCTCACGGACCTCCTGTAGGGTCAGAAAAAATCCTTTCTTTGTGGTGACTGAGCAAAAAGGGTCTGACGCTCCACATAAAATATAAGAAATGTCCACAAAAAAGATTCTTGAATAATATAAATTATATTTATTTTACAAACAAAAAATGTACTTCAAATTGTACCAAAATCAAAATGAAAGGCAGATGTGAGTGAGTGAGGTCAAAGACTGTCTCTTCCTGCTGCAGCCACACCTCCAGGTGATACTGCACACCTTATGTAGCCCTTCCCCAGTGCATCCACTAGATGGCGACAAAAGCGTCAATGGGGGCTGTACAAAGTATCTTAACTACATTTTGGCTCCTACACCTCAATTATCCTCCACGCTATAAATATAGAAATACAGTGGGGCAAAAAAGTATTTAGTCAGCCACCGAATATGCAAGTTCTCCCACTTAAAATAATGACAGAGGTTTGTAATTTTCATCATAGGTAAAAAACTTAAACTGTGAGAGACAGAATGTGACAAAAAAATCCACGAATTCACATTGTAGGATTTTTAAAGAATTTATTTGTAAATTCTGGTGGAAAATAAGTATTTGGTCACTTCAAACAGGGAAGATCTCTGGCTCT